ACCCCCCCCTGCCGCCAGTTCATCCCCCAGCCCCTGGGCCCGGGGGTGGGCTTTGGTCTGACACCTGCACGGAGCCAAAGCCGATCCGTCAGCCCAGGCTGGGCATTTCGGGTGCTGCTCTGGGCTCTGGATCTCACTGCTAGACATCAAGTTTTTTGCCTGTGATTTGCTGTCTCAAGATAGAGTTTTACTTTTCCTTGCTAATAACACCAGCTGAAAGGAGCCCCCAGCCCCTGGGCCCGGGGGTGGGCTTTGGTCTGACACCTGCACGGAGCCAAAGCCGATCCGTCAGCCCAGGCTGGGCATTTCGGGTGCTGCTCTGGGCTCTGGATCTCACTGCTAGACATCAAGTTTTTTGCCTGTGATTTGCTGTCTCAAGATAGAGTTTTACTTTTCCTTGCTAATAACACCAGCTGAAAGGAGAAGAAACAGTAGAGATTATTTCTGTTTGGACAAACTGTGGAGTTAGAGGCAGATGTATGGGTGTCCGAAAGCAATTGTGTGGTGAAGGTTGTCGTAGTGTCCCAAAGAGAACAAACAGCTCCAGCACTTACAAAGGGACATTAAACTCAGTCACACGTTGCAGTTAGGACACTCGACTCCAGGTGCCAGACCGACAGCCGAGGGAAGAGCGCTGCCTGTCACCCGCTCGCTTGCAGAAACACGTGGGCATTTCCAGCCAAAGTCGGGCGCGTTGCTGCACGTGGCCGTGGGTGGCCGGTGGTGCCTTGCTCCTCAGAGGGAGCACTCCTCTCTCTACCTGGCCAAGGTGTATTTGGACCCACAACCGTTGCATGCATTTGTGTCAGAAGACAAAATATTCCTCGCCTGACGTGTCTGACCAGAGGGTTGAAGCTTTGCCCACCGGTGCTACGGGCTCTTTCACTTGGGTGAAAACTGGTGCGTGCCCAAAGCCAGGCCAGAGCTCTTTGCCTTGGAGAGTGTGGGCTGACTGATCTGCAGAGACGGAGAAAAATGTGTCAGCCTGACCAGGGCCTGCTTTGCTTTTCCCCCTACAGCTCCTGAGTTAAAGTCTCCTTTTGCCTTCATTGCAGCTGGTTTATAGAGATCCAGTGGCAGAGGTGGGGCTGGACAAGGTGCCTTGGTCGCAGCCACATCCTTCCCTTGTTCTACAGAGGGGAAAAAAATGGTATTTAAAACACTGTGTGAACTCTACTCCCTAAGGCTCTGCTGGAAATTAGTGCAGCTTTATGGTCTAAAGCAGTGATTCCTTTTGGTATGGAAGGTCAATTTGACATACCTTGGGAGATCCGTGCTTGCTTCTAGTGTGGAAAGGCTGAATGAGCCTGGCCACCCACAAGCTTAAGAAGGGCCTTGAGAAAGACCAAATAAATGATGCTCTTCCAGTGGCGGCGAGAGCATGCTTTGGTTGCTACAAGACGACAACATGACGTGTTCACGGCCAAAAACAGGATGTGGGTGACAGGCTCTGCGGGGCCGCTGCAGCGGGCGTCGAGATCAATGGTGCCTTCCGAGGGGAGGAAGGAGCTCACAGGCAAACCAAATAGCTCAGAGAGCAAAATGAATGAGAAAGCTCTTTTAAAATGGCATTTCTCCTTGCAGAGAGCAATCTGGAAGGATCCCTGCTCTGCCTGCCGGGAGTCGGGGCAGGAGGAGGTGGGCGTACGGGCAGCGCTGCGTGGTGACGCTGTGGTTCGTGGGGTCGGGGCTCCGAGCAACATGTGTGGAAGGTGCTCTGGACCTTC